TCCAAGGCTGGACCAAACTTGGAGAACTCGATGCCGCACTTGCCGCATGCGTGGCCTCCTCCTGCGGTGTGGTCAGCCCTGAGGCGACCGGAGTGGGGGGTCCACGCTTGTTGTTGGCACGGTCCTTCCAGTAAACTTCCTGGATGCCTTGAATCTCCGGACTGGCAGTCAGCTGCCTCTGCTGTTGAAAGGTGCGCATGGCTTCACTCATTTCCGCCATGGCGCGGTGTGGTCCAGGTAGATCACACGCCTTTACTAAAAACAACTACGTGCACATGCCAACCTGAAAGCCGATACGCCTGCTTGATGGGTTTAGGGCTTAGGGGACCAACTTTCTCGAATAAGGCTGTTGCGATACCTTGTACTAAAATCTGTATAAGGGGTATAACGTGCCAATGTCCCTCAGGCCTCTACACTACCCGTAGCTCTTTTTCGGCAGAGCATTAGAATCCCCATGCAAGAAGACCATAACCCCAAAAAGCAGTCAAAAGGAGCCGAAAACCTTGAATCCCATAATTACATGCCTCAACTTAGGTATCTGGCTTATATATCTCCCCTAATCCTAGCCCAACATCCAATTGAAAACAAACTTCACCCGGGTATTTGGCTCTAAACCCCTAACTCTAACCTCTAAACCTATAGCCCCCCTGAAGTAGATAGAATCTGGGGTATATGGGGATCTTAAGGGGAACTATAGTACTAACATGCTTAAGGGGGACTCTAAACTCTAAACCTGGTACTTGGCCCCTTTGTGGAGCGGAAGCCGCCTCCCCCCAAGCCAAAAAGTCGTGGAAGCTCTGCCCTTGCGTGACATCGTCGGTGTCACGGTCCAGCCAGAACGTTAGAACGCGGTACCTCCGTGATTCTTTAGTTTAGGGTGTAGCGTGGAGGTTTAGAGTTGAGAGTTCAAGATAAAAAGTTCAGGGTTTAGGATTTCAGGTTAGGGGTCTAGCGCATGAACGCCTAAATCCCTGAGGTGGTTGAGGGTCCAAAGGTGCACTAGAGCTTTGAGCTTCGATTTAGAAGGATATAGTCCCCTTTAAGTAGATAGAATATCGGGTATATGGGGATCTTATCGTCATATACCCAAAGCCATATTCTATCTACTTAAGGGAACCTATAGGTTTTCCTTAATGAAGGTTCTTGGGGCTCCATGGATCGCCACATGCGAGGTTTTAGGGTTAAGGGTTTAGGGTTTAGGGTACATGCCCTAAGCCCTGAGCAAATTGATTTGCTCCAGCTGACCATGAAGCCTGGTAGACAATTGAAGTTGTAGGTGCATTCTCGAGGTATAGCTGTCTTCGAAATCTTACTTCTACTTGTGGGCTTGTAGTTGTAGGGTGTAGGGCGTGGGCTTCAAGGATACGAGCTTCATGAGGTGCGCTCTAGGTTTGCGGACCTGTGTCCCTTGGACGCATGCTCTCACTTAATGGACACCAGCGCTCGAATCCTACATGGGTAGCCTAACATGAAACCCAACATAGAATCCTTGACGCGTCTCACGCCCAAATGACCCTAGACCCCATAGACCCCACTGAATAACTTTCTTTTCAATTTGAGTCTCGCTGTTTGGTGTTTATTTAAGCCAAATCCTACACTACAAACCCCCATATACCCCAAACCTTAAGCCCAGTTTTGGGATGATTTCCATTTGATTCTCCCCTATTGGTATGATTACCATGATATCCCTACACTTTAAACCGTAAACCCTCAACTCCACGATTGGGGTCCTAATTTCCCTGATCGCAGAGCCCTCAAACCGCCCTTAGGCTTTAGGGTTCAGGGCTTAGGATTTGAGGCTTAGGGTACTAAATCCGCTCCCGCTAATATTACAAACCCCACCCGCCTAGTACTATGTACACTTCGAATGTAGTATGCTGTTATATACTGGGAGTACTTAAATTTGGAGCGCGGATAGGTTTTGAAAACTAGGGGGACGGGATTTGTAGGAGAACCCACACCCTAACCCTATAATCCCTAAACACCTCTTTCAGCCCCGAATTTCTCGTCGATCATTCTGCATACCAACCTGAAACTCTGCACTCCTAAACCCTGAAAGGTTGAGGGTTTAGGCTTTTAGGTTTGTAGTGTTTCGGATTTTAGGGTTTTGGGTTTAGGATTTAGGGTTTTAGGGTTTAGGATTTTAGGGTTTAGGGCTTTAGAGTTTAGAGCTTTAGGGTTTAGGGCTCTTAGTTTTTAGGGTTTGGGGTTTTCGGGTTTGGGTTTAGTCCCTAAAGCCTGCATCGTAATCCCTTCAAACCAATAATGAACATCCCCTATACATTGGGGAATATATTCAATATTCCTCTTGGTGGTTAATAGATGTTCACAGGAAATAAGAGAATGGAATTCCTACATCATCCCTATATCATACATGCCCTTATTTCCCCTACTAAACACCAGCGAGTATTAGGGCTGGGAAGTGTTTAAGATTAGTACGAGGCGATTAGGAAATCTGCGGCGCAAAGAAGGGAACTTTCAGGTGCCGGTGGGTAGGGTTTAGGGTTGAGGGCTTTGGGTTTCGGGGTTTTGGGTCTGGGGTTAGGGGGTTTTCGGGTTTACCTAAACCCTAAGCCTGTAACCCTAAGCCCTGAACCCTAGACCCCTAAACCCGAAACCCTAGAGTTTACAAGGCCCACATGGGGCGAGTAGCAGGTATATCAACGTTCTGCCAAGCTTCGGGGGGAAAAGCTCGGCACCTGAAAACTTCCCAGACAAGGCCAAGCCAAGACCTTAACAACCTTGAAGTCATGGGTTTAGGGTTTAGGG